AAAAAAAAATTAAAATCAGGAACGATTAATTAATTTCTCAGAAACTATAGAAGCTATCGAGAAGTAACCTATATACGGTTTGTGGACAATTTTATTTTCTATCATTTGCCGTACCTCGTATTACGATTATTTAATTGGTTCGTAAGATATACTCGATTTTTTTTTTAAGCTGAATAACGGTAAATTGCAAATATCTCGAAAACGTATGCATACAAAAAAAAAAATTAGCTCGATTTTCGGAATCAGCGAGCGATTTTACATACAAATTGGATAGTGGCGTCTGGAGAACCAAATCAAAATTAAAATTTGTGATCCAGTGCTATTATTCGTATATATGTTGCTGGTGGGAACTGAAAAAATCCCTCTTTTTACCTTCATGTACAGAAAGACGAATTTTAGCCAAAACACTTAATTGTAAATCCTATATACCATAGGTTAATATAATCTTCATACAAATGTTTAAAAATATTTAAAATTGCGAAAGGTATGTTCCGTTGATTTTAGATAATTTTTTTGCTGGCGGCGTTGAACATTTCCTTCCACTTAACGAATTTTTTAGTCAGCAAAAAAAAATTCTCAAAAATGAACCGAGATTTTCAGCCAATCAAAACTTTGCTGTTATTTTATGATTTAATTACCTATCTATAAAACTGCATACTCGATTTTTTTTTTTGTAAAAAAATTGGTTAAATCTGATGAAAATTTGCGTAAATTTTTATTAATTTTCTCCAAAGTTAGAAATTTTTATTTACATGGTTTTTGTTGAAGAATAATCTATATTTTTATATAAAAAATTATCGAAAAAGTTTACCATCAAAAACATTTTGAATATCGTAAAACAAAATCATACTGTGAGTCACTGTACGTATGCATTTTAGTATAACACAGTTTTGGAGCCACCGACACAGAATCAGTTATTATCAGTTATTAAATTTCCATTTCACACAAAATCTCTAAAAAAAAAATTAGTACATACATACATACATACAGTATGTATAGATCACTTCATACTCACAGCAATCTCCGTCATGCTATCACCGAACAGCGATGAGCCTACTGTTGTTGTTGGTGGTGAGAAGGGATCGAGACGCGTTGTTGATAAGTGAAGAAGGGCTGCAGAGCTACTCCCACCACCACCAACACCAACACCACCACCACCACCAGTAGAACTATAACGGTTCGTTGTACAGCCGTGATGCTGTTTAAAATGATGACGATGTTGCTGATGATGGCAATTGTTGTTGTTGTTGTTGCTGCTGCTGCCGTTATTCTTATTATGATTATTACCAGTATCGTAGACACTATTTTGTCTTAAATGTTGACGTAAATTCGGCGCTGTGTAGACGTCGCTTCCTCTACCACCCGTTCTCGTCACCGCAACATTACATTCAATACTCGGTGGACTATTTTGGTTTGCACTAAAGTTCCTCGTACTGTTTGGATTATTTGGAAGTGATGATGCAGTCGCTAAGGTATCCACACAACCATACATTCGTGGTACACTTTTACTACGATGGGCCACAGCATTTTGATTTGACCAATTAATGAGTGATTCCTCAGAACTGCAACGTGCATTGGACGACGAAGGCAACATTAATGATGCGAAGAGAAACGCCAGATGTGTTGTGGAAGTGAATGCTTTCTTTTTTTTCACAATTTGTAACACTTATGTATTTTTGGATAGGTTAAAGACTGATAAGAGAATTTATATTGAGATTCGTCTCCCCTTTTGGATGCGTAATTTTCTTTATTTCAATTTAAACGAAAACATTTCACACTTTAAACGGTCCATGCACTCCGAAGTCTATTCTCCACTGTTTCGAATGTATTTTCGCTCACGCTCTGTAATGACTCAATTGCAGTGATAACCTTACAGATTGATAAAATTCGTTTTATTTACACGAGAGTATATTCATTTCTATATAAGCACATAAACATATGTACACATATATATATATACATGCATACATTCATATGTATGTAAACTGAAATAACGCATTAAATGCAAGGCGAATAAGTGCATTTTTTTTATTATTAAAAATATGTTTAAATTTTATTATGTCAGGTAAATAATGCTTTTCGTTAGTTGGCGTACAAACATATGTATGTAAATAAAAGTACACATGTACAATTTATGTTTGCGAAGATTTCATTATACAATTAATAAGCTTGATGAGGAGAATATGTTAAGCCCACCAGATGACTAAGCTTCCAAAAAATGGCGAATATATGCGGCTTCCCATCTGTCTTTTGGTATACCAACTGTATGGGCTGGTTTCTCCAACTCAACTTAACTTAGTTTAGCAAATTTTTTGGACTTAGTAAAGAATAAGCTGAATAAAAAGTAGGCTAACTTTTGACTTAAGTCCAAAAAATGGCTAAACTAAGTTAAGTTGAGCTGGAGAAACCAGCCCTATGAATTGTTCAAGCTTTGATTGATTTTTTCCACAAAATTGAAAATTTGAAATAATTCTGTATGTATATTATGGAAGTATATTGCTTTCATATACACTGTACATACAGTGATCAAACAAGCTATCACATGTTGATTTTTTTTTTTAACATTCGGAGTGCCCTTCATGTAAAATTTTATTGTATTTTTTATAAAAATATTGTTCACGTTTTTACTAAAACAAAGTTTAAAAAAGATCAAAACATTTTCATCAAAATTTTTAACTTTTTAATCTGAATTTTTTAGACATTTTTGGGTCTGCTGTTTTATAGCGCATACAATTCTATTACAACACAAGCAAATTTCAAGCGGCTAACATTTCGTGTAGATTTTTTTAGTACATACTATTTTTTGGTTGACGGGCTTTTGCATTTTTTCCATATATATATATGAATGTCTGTGGAAGAAAATGCCCAAGACTGTTTGAAAAACAAAAATATAAAATTTAAAAAAAATCCAACGCGATAATAATAATAATAATTGGCTACAGCCAAAACAGAGATCGTGCTCCTCACCAGGAAAAGGATCCCAACAATTATAAACATGATGGTCGGACCTCAACTCGTGACAACTTCTAGGTATACAAAATACCTAGGGGTGAAGCTTGACACCAAACTCACATTCTGGGAACACATCCATGGAGTATGTGAAAAAGCTGCACAGAGCACGGTGGCTCTCAGCCGGCTGATGGCGAACGTGGGCGGCCCGAAGCCATGCCGCAGGAAACTACTGATGACAGCAGTCCAGTCGGTGCTCCTGTACGGGGCAAAAATATGGGCCGACGCATTGAAAGTCAAAAAATACCGGATTCAAATGTCTTCGGTCCAGCGCAGAGGGGCACTACGCATTGCTCCTGCATACCATACAGTGTCCGCGGACGCGGTTCTAGTTATTTCTGGCGTCATGCCAATTGAGCTACTTGCGTACGAGCGAAAAGAGATTTACAATCTCAGTGCCGAGATAGGTCGAGCGACTGCCGCGGCAAGGGCGCGCGAGCAACTAATCCAGCAGTGGCAACAAAACTGGAACGCGAGGACAAAAGGTCGATGGACGCACACCCTGATAGACGACCTTCAGTCGATTTCTACCTGACGCAATTCCTCACCGGTCATGGTTACTTCCGAGAATATCTTCATAGAATGGGAAGGGTGGACTCACCGTTCTGTCACTACTGCGGAAACGTCGAAGATAACGTGTACCATATTTTCTTCACCTGCGAACACTTCTTGATTTCGCGCAGAATGTTGGAAGAAAAATACGAAGACATAACTCCGAACAACATAATTGGGGTAATGTTCTCCAGTGCAGACAAGTGGGCGGCAGTTGCGCTGCAAACAAGGGGACGGATGTCTACTGAGGACACCCGAATGAAATGCCCCTATAAAAGAGCAGCCCCGAGGCTCTAGCAGCACGCTCCTGTATCTGAAGACATGCAGAATTGCGGTGCCAGATGCGGGGTTCTTGCGCGGGAGTTTGGGTTTTAGTGGGTAGCCCAACACGCTTCGGTGGAAGTCCCACACTCGGGGTAGGTAGTATTGAGACTAGAGCCCCCGGCCAGTGCATAAAGCATTTCCCTCTCCTACGAACAAAAAAAAAAAGTAAAAAAAAAATTATAATAATAATAGATTGGCGGTTACACAATATGTTAGTGTTTGGCCGAACTTCTCCTCCGATTTTTGCGTGCGATTGTATTTTTGTGAGATGCTGCCTTTCGTGGCTGAAATACACTCGGAGGTTTGTCATTACCTGTCGAGGGGCGACCGCTATTAGAAAAACTTGTTCTCTATTATGCGAATTCTACTTTATTATACTAAAATTTCATGAGCTATAAAACTGCATACCCAAAAACTTTCGAAAATTTTAAAACTTTTCGAAATTGTTATGAAACTTTTGAATTTTGCATAAAGTTTGAAAGTTGGATTGATTTCGGTTAAATCATGAAGAATAATTTTATAAAATATAATATAAGAAAAATAACATAGCAACAAAAAAATCTTAACTAGAAATATATTGTGAATATCCCAAAAAAATCAACACGTGAACCCTTGTTTAAGTCACTGTACCTATATATGTATGTATGTATGCACATATCATGCATGCAAAAAGACGTAACAAACATCGTCGCTGAAATACAAAAAGTCGTAACTAATAAAAACTTCAAAATTCAGTTATTTTATGAAAAAAAAAAATAAAAAATATTAGTCACGACTCTTTCCATTTCAGTTACGATGTTGTTACGTCTTTTTGCATTTCAGGTGAGGATATGTAGTTTCCGTGTAGACATGGTATTCTCGGTTAATCAAGTCAACCCAATAACTCAAAACTGATAAATTTGCACATTCATGCTTCTGACATAATGGTGACGATATGACTTCAGAGCGTTCGATCCGCAAGCTCACATCTCATGGGAAGAAAATGACTTAACATCACAGTGACCGAACGGTGAACGACAGCATCGCCCAATTTGGCGAAATTTGCCGTTCGCCGGTATTGTATTAGATAGATTGTTAGAGGCTGTGCACTGCGACTTTAGGTCTATTATGCCCTGGTATTGTATGTGAAGCATTATACACCATTTCACCAAATTTTCTTCCTTTCGTTCAACTTCTTTCTCTCCGTTTTGCAAGTCCTGCTGGCGTACATTGTGCTTGTCTTGTGCGCTTTGCTCATCCAGCTAGTTTTGCCAATCTTGCCTGCGAAGATACTCCGGGTGCATTTGTTTCCTGTAGTACCAGGTTTAAGTCTCTGGTAAGACTTCCGAGAGCCGAAGACTCTTCTACCAGTTGAGCCCCGATTCGACTCAGGATTGGTAGCCTTTGACTGGGTACCCCGGGGTTGTCAAGCCCGTAGTTCCACTTACGCGAAGCCCCCGGGGGGTTTCGCATTCCTTGCCCAGTAGGCCCATACACGATCATGAAAGTTCTCAGGAAAGGAACAATGAGAAGCAAAGAACAACACTGACAAAGTACCACAGGACTTCATTAGGGCTTAAGAACACAGGCTTAATTAGGAGGACCACCTGAAGAAATACAGGCATCTAATATCCCTCCCTTAAGAGAAACTGAGGATTATCCCAGGCATACTCACGGGGAACTGCAGGCTAAGTGAACATCTGCATAAGTAAGGTTTCTGGCCAAATGATCTCTGTCGCTTTTGCAACTCATTTAAAGAGGCCAAAATGCCGTATCGATGCAACGAAACAGCCTAGGCTAAATGCAACCAAAGGATAAGCACATACACTGCCTACTTCCAAAAGCTTTTTTAAACTCACTGTGCATTGTAGGATTATACGAGGTGTTGTGTTGAGTAGAGAGCACAATATACATACATACATACATATATCCGAAAGGTTGTAGTGCATTCTCGTACCTCTTTTATTTATCTACCTATCCACTGTGCTATGTAGCAGAAGCACTTCTCATCCAATTTGTGGTGTGGTGTGTCTTGATATTGTCACTTACGAAGAAACCTACAGTTTTTCAAGGGGTCCCACAGGGTGGGGTCCTTTCCCCTTTAATATTTAACTTATACATCTCTAAGCTTTCTAAGCTACTAAAGGCGGATTCATCGTTCTAGTTCAGAACTTTCCCTACAAGTGGTTTTTGTTGTGTTTGGGCTTGTTTGAGATGCATCACAACCGCATTGTTGCGCGAATTGTTAACATATCACCTTCGGTGTGAATTTCCAGCAACGTTTTATCAGTTGGGAAGTTGCAACAGTATTGCAAGTTTTCATCAGTGCTGCAGTATTGCCGCTTTTATTATGTACCTCGAACAGGCCATTTCTCTCTCTGGGAGAGCAACTGAGAAAAGTGCTGAACGCGTTTGAGTTGTGAACTCAACTTCAACTTTAGTTCAGAACTGGACCGATGAAGCCGCCTTAAGAGCAGTGATGCTCAGAGAGAGGTTTTACTCTGTGCGTGTCCATATAAAATCTACAGAGAACTTTGAAGGATTCCGCCCGCGAGCGCTGTTTTAAGCACCACTGCTTAAGAGCTACGCTGATTGAGCGATTTTTTCGTCCGGCACGTCGACGGTAAACTAATACCGACGATTAACAATTCGAAAATCTTAGGGGTTACCTTTGGCAGCTTGCTCTCCTTTTCCGCGCGCACAACCGCAGGAAGGCATTTCTACAAACTCCAGAAACATTCATTGTACCCGAAGTTGTACCGACAGACCGTTAACGGCATTCACCGATAGGCAAACACCACATTTATAAAATCCCGCCCCGTAAGTGCCTGGATTGGAGTTCAACCACTACTCATCGCAGACGAAGAGCTTCAGCGGACTTAACCTACCTATCCAAAGCCGACTCCGACATGCTCCTCTTGTGAAGTTACCCCACACGACACCAACCAGCTCCTCACTTGTCCCTTTAAGCCTACTCAACGTTGCTCTCCGTTTATAATTCATTTCCACCAAGCCGTAGCTGGAGGTTATGCCTATTGAAAAAGGAAAATTACAACTCGGAAAGTCAAAAAGCAAAAAGTAAAAGTAAATAAACCTTTCAGATAACCCCGTGTAAAAATTCTTGGAACTTACCTGA